CTGCTGAACATTCTTCTTTATACAGGAGCCAAAATATACAATACACTGAAACAAAATTGCAACACACACAGCTATCTCGCTTTATTTAGCATCCAGCGGAATCAATGGAAACGTTATCTGCTGAGGGTACAGCAAGCAACCAAATACAACAAATCTGTGAAAAATCAAACAGGCATGGAAAAGCATCACTATGTAAATAATGGTGCTCAACTGGAAAACTACACAGAGCAAGAACAGGAAGAAAGTGGATGTTGAACCCAAATAAAACATCTGTGGCTCACTGAAATATATCATGGCAGTGGATGAATACATATGGACACTTTGTTGCATGCGATAAACTCCTGAGCCACAAAGAGGAAAATAGCTCATGTGTATTAATTTGAACAGAACAGCCTCATGGATGTAAATATAGAGCAGAGCAGAAGGCTTGATATTTGATGGGACTTGCTTGTTTGGTAAAACCCTGGAACAAGGACAAACAAGTAAGACAATCAGACAGGCCTTGCATAACTACATAGCTTTCATATTTAGTAATTAAACTTATTAGGCACTTAAATGTCTTGGTCTTAGCTGTGTAAAAAACATCCACTCTTTGCCTTGAAAGCAAAATGAATTGTAATATTAATGCCACCTTCCAGACACCTGAATACTTGCATCTTGACTTGCAGTTTGTTTAGTAAGATTTGACTTAGACTTGCCCCAAGAGACTTGAAAACATGTTAGAAACACCACATCTGGATAACGTCGTGCATAGTGTAGTTTGCAAGGTAGGCGAGAACCTGTCAGAGTTTCAGCTATGTACATTTTTTGTGTTTGTTTCATTCCCAAGTGAACAAATCTTATTTACAGCCCCAGCAGGTGCCATTACTGAACAGCAGAAAGCAAGCTGAGTTCAAGATTCTCGGTGGATACCCTCAGTCCCAGATCACTGACTCAGTCAAATCTTGTTGACCCTTTAACAGCTCTCACACATCATCTCAGTGAACACTACATTTATTGCAGCCCCTTTAAAAAGGCCACTCCAAATTTCAACAGGTCCCTGAGTCTGCTAAGCCATGCTTTATCTAAAAAAGGGAAATGGGATGTAATTAGGTTTGAACCTTTTGGTTCTTTACAGTAATGATCCATTATATGTCAGCTCCCATGTGCCATTGCAAACCACGAAACAAAATGCTACCTCGCCTCTCTCTCATATTGTGATGTGATTTCACCTCAGGGCTTAGCAGACCCCGTGAAAAAACATCTAGACAACAGTCTGTAAGCAAGCCACTGACAACATATCAGAAAAGGAATATTTTTCCTCTGGATTGAGATGTACAAAATATGGTGCATTCATCAAACAGCACTTAAGAAAGGATTGATTTTCCAATGAGACGCAATCTCAAAGACTAACTGAAAATCCTGCTACAGAACCACTCTGCAGGTTAGATTTGTTAGCTGATTGCATGAACTTTGCATGAGCATAAAGGATAAATGAAAAGGTTTAGGGAAATAAGTGTTCAATTGTCTCTTTGCATACTTAAATAAAACAGGTTAAGAGAACCTGCAGATAAGAGCAGCAGCACCTCAAGCCACAACCACTGAATCTCCAGCAGGCCATTTTGAACAGGACACTAAACCTGACAGCCCCTGAGCTCATACCAAATGAATTGACCTATGCTAAATCAGTTCAGTGTTTCATAGAGAGGGCTATAGCAAGGTTTTGTCATACGAATTCATGATAGGAATGTCAGATTTAAGAAAACACAACGAAGTGGGGGTATGAAAACTCTAGGGTTGCTGTACTGCAAAATTTGTCCTTTTGCTGCATTCAAAGGGGAATGAACACAAATTCCCTAATCTAAGGAGAGATCCATCTTTCCATTCAAGGGGCTTCTGAGGGCCAGGAAGCATGTGGCAGAGCTGGGAACATCTGGGATTCTTTACAAGGCCCAAAAGGACAATAATAGAAAAACTTGAAGAAACATTCCCCACTGTCAGGATGCTCTAACCATATTTGTTCACATCACACAGTATCGGGGTTGGTCATGGAAGGAGCGAAGGGACACTTTGGCAAGTGGACAATAGATGGGTCACACTTAATTGTAGTGAGAAGTTTTTCTTCTACCCATGTGCAGTCTGACATCTTTATATGGATCTGCCACCATCTAGTGGAAACTTTCACTACTACATGGAATATTTGACCTGAAAACCCAGCTGGGATACAACATAAAGCGCCTCTCTCTAACAAAGACCTTTATGTAAACATGTATTGTAGGTCAGGAAATATCTGTCTCTGCTTAATCATTGTGTATTTAAATCAGTATTTAAAGAGACAACTGCTCAGGATGACGATGGATGAATGGGTGGGGAGGAAACAGGAAGGTGTAGAACACTGTTACTTTTGTCTTTTCAAAAACAAGCCTGCCTGTTCAGATCAGGGATGCACATGTGGAGCTGTCTGACTCTAGGCTGTATTCTGATGAAGTTAATGAGAGGAACACCAAAGTCAGGAGGTGAATGACTGAAGTGAAATATACTCTAAGCCTCTACCAACACATGGAAAATGTACTTTGAGTTTAAAACTTTAAATTGCTCTAACTATTAAATCTTCGGGCAGCACAGTGGAATGGCGGTTAGCGCTGTTGTCTCACAGCAAGAAGGTTCCAGGTTCAAGCCCGGGCCACCCTGATGCCTTTCTGTGTAGAGTCTGCATGTTCTCTCTGTGCCTGCGTGGGTTCTCTCCGGGTATTTCAGCTTCCCCTTACAATCCAAAGACGTACAGCCCCCCCATGGCCCTCTTCAGGAATAAGAAGTATAGATAATGGATGGATATTAAATCTTTTGTCTTCCTCCCAAGAGTGCACTGGACAGTGGAAAAATCACAACAGCTGGCCAAAAGGCAACGAGATCCTCCTCAGGAAAAGAACTGAGCAAAAAACAAATCATGCTCTGAAACATTCACATGGTTCAGTTGGTGGACTTGTTCTGCATTCACCCTGCTTTCATCTGGACCTGAACAGGAAGTGCTACAATAAAACAGCACTAGTTAAAACTCCCCAGGTGCCCTTAAGGTATTGGGTCTTTCTGTGCTGGACTGTCACACACTGAGTGACAGGAAGGCCATCAGCTGGCCAGGGTTTTTACTAGGAGACTGATTCCCTTTATCACACAGCAGACACCCACCCAAAGCTGCCCCACTTGCACCTGCTCTGGTTACAGGTCAAAAGACCAGTTCACTCCAAAGCTATCCACATTCAATGCCAGCTTTTGGTGCTTAACAAAATCCAATATCATGGAAATATTTTGGTGGGTACTGGTAAATAAATGTAGTGCAATAGCTCAAAAGCTGGACATAGAAAAAAATACAGTGAATCTGAAACAGATTTGCAAAAAAAGCATTCAATTATTATCTAGATCCACCATAAAAGTACTGTTTTGTTATCCATTGTAGCACCCAAAATCTCAGACTTGGTGTGCACTCATACATGGTTTTTTCTTTACAACTACATGTTGAAAGGTGCACTGTCTTGTTGTCATATGCCTGTTTACTCCCATAAAGGTCAGGGATGGTTGCAAAAAGGACACAATCTTTCAGTCCATAAAAGAAGTACTGAAGCTGTGTATTTCAGTTACTTTACATCATATTCAAGAGTATGAGTATAATTTGCATAACTGCAATGTATTAATCACTGCTTAAGGCAGTGGTTCTCAAACATTTTCTGTCATTCCCCAAATTTTCAAGCTCTACTTGTCAACAAAATGATTAAGAAATCGGCCAATTTTAAAATTTCAAATTTATTGAAATATCAAATAACACTAAGTTCAAAACAGATAAAATATAAGTTCAGTTGTGTTATAACTTAGCCTTGTCTTGCAACTGTATCGTTTGACAGGGGGATATAGTTTTCAGTTTTGCAGCACTTGTCTCATACAGCATAATCGACACCATGTCTACAGCAGCAGGGAGAATGAGCTGCTCAGCAATTGTGTGTGGTTTTTTGCACTGGGCAATTCTGTATGCAACTTTGAATGAAGCCATTTGTCCTTTGCTGTCCACTGATGCAGATTTTACCATGCGATTTTTCTGCTGATGGTTTTCTGTCAGCTTTCTTTCAAAGAAGTCGAGTGGCTTATTAACATGACTGGGGTATGTTGTCTCTAAATGTCTTCGTAATTTGTTGGGTCTTATGCTGTCTGCTGCCAGCGGGTTAAGACACAAGACACACATGGGTCCCTCCTCTGCCCCCACCATTGCCACCATGAATCCAAATGCAAGATAGGCTTCATCATATTTCCTTTTCGGCTGGCTTTTTGGTTGATAAGGCTTACTGCCTGTCGTTTTTTTGTCTGCTTGCGCTGAATCGCCTACTTTTTTTGTGGTCCATGTAACAAATTTATCCATTTACGTTATTATGCCTACTATGTACACTATTGGCCCTCTGTGTGAAAGTTTCCTTATATTGTTGCACTGCAGTTAACATGCCGATGGTAAACCATTATTGTTGCACTATGGTTCCACTTTTTTTCTCCCGGGCCGAACTGATGTTATTTTAATTAACTTGTATTAATGACCCATTTCTAATTTTCTCCATTCATTGCGCCCCACCTGTCATGTCTTTATTCCCCACTAGTGGGGCGTGCCCCACACTTTGAGAACCACGGGCTTAAGGGAAGAAATGTTCATCCATGTGACATTTTGAAATACAGTTTCTAGAAAAAAAAAAT